CAGATTGAGCAGCCGCTGATGACTGATTTAACTTCATTGACAGAGTAAGGGAGATTTTTAGTTCCAACAAAATGGAGCATTCGTACGACTCCGGGATGACAGTGATTGATGTAGCTGCTTGAGCGGTTCAAGTGATGTGGACACTGAGCAGCAGCTACGAGACAATACGTCAGCCGCCACGTTTTCGTGTCCAGGGCGGTAAATAACATCGAAGCTGTAGCATGATAGTTCGATTCTCCATCTCAATTTTATCATTTTTGATTTTACAGTGGTGTCTCGAATCAAACATGAAGGCAACCGATCTTTGATCTGTGATCAGTCTGAAGTGCGTGCGAAGCAAATAGTGTCTCCACTTGCGAATAGATTCGACGATGGCGTTGTCCTCTTTCTCTACAGAGGAATGATGCCGTTCACTTGGAGATAGCGTTCTAGAAAAGAAGGCAACCGGCCTACGGTTTGGCGAGACGATAGCCGAAATGGTCGATGGTGGTGACGACTGCATGTTCTAGTTCGCTTTTGAGTGTTTCGAAGGATATTCTGACGTCCTCTGGTAGGGGAAATGTGTTATTATGTACCAAGGGATGTATCTTGTCCGATAATCGAGGAATCCAATGGGAGTAATATGAAAATAAACCGATTACCCGGCGTTGCGATTTGAGGTTTTTGAGAGGTGGAAGTTCTCAGAGTGGCTTCAGTCTTTCAGGATCCGGTTTCACCAAACCGTGAGACTTCGTAACCCAGGGGTTTTACTTCTTTGGTACCAATGATACACTTTTCTTCGTTTAGAGTAAGCCCATATTTTTTAACTGCGTTGAAAAAAAATCCTTAGATTTTTGTCGTGATTTTCTTTGTTCAGTTCGCATGCAGTAATGTTGTCGATGTAGGCGAGGGTGCCCAGCAGGTTTTCCTCCTGAATGACTTTATCGATTGCCCGCTGGAAGCAAGCGACACCATTAGTCACTCCGAAAGGTATTCGACAGAATTGATACAACCTGCCGCATGTTTCAAAGGCAGTGAATGGTCGATCTTTTGCTTCTATAGCGATTTGGTGGTATGCACTTCGTAAATCTAAGGCACTGAAGACAACGTATCGTGATACTTTGGACACCATTTCGTCTATTCGCGGCAGTGGGTAAGCGTCCAACAGCCTGTAGCGATTGATAGTTTGACTATAGTCGACTACCATGCGTCTCTTGTGTCGTTCATTTGTGGTTACAAGGACTTGTGCTCACCAGGGTGAAGTTGGAGTCTCAATGCTACCCTCCTTAAAAAGGCGACGAACTTCTGATCGAATAAATTTCTCGTCATCGGGAGTGTGGCGGCGTGATTTGGTTGCAATGGGTTTACAGTCTGGCGGCAAGTTCCCGAAGAGAGGTGGTTCGATGCGTGAAGCAGTCAAGTTACAAAGAGAAAGAGAGGGTCTGTTATCCCTGAACGGGATTTCAACTACTTTGTGGAGTTTCAAAAAATCATTTCCCAGTAATACATCGGAACACAAATGTGGAGGAACTGAGAGTTTGAAATTATCGTATAAATTATTCCTGAGGTCTGTGGCGACTAGGCAGTGACCTTTCGTGTGACTAAGCAATCTCGTGGATGCCATCAAGATTGTACTAGATGACTGCATAACCTTCAGATGGTGTCGTNAGTTACAAGGAGAGAGAGAGGGTCTGTTACCCCTGAATGGGATTTCAACTACTTTGTGGGGTTTCAAAAAATCATGTCCCAGTAATACATCGGCACAGAAATGTGGAAGAACTGAGAGTTTGAAATTATCGTGTGCATTGTTCCTGAGGTCTATGGCGACTAGGCAGTGACCTTTCGTGTGACTAACCAATCTCGTGGATGCCATCAAGATTGTACTAGATGACTGCATGACCTTCAGATGGTGTCGTTTTACGAAAGATTCCGAAATATAGCATTCGGAGCTTCTGGTGTCTAGTAGAGCTTCAACGGGGATCTTATTCACGGTGATTTTTACCAGTGCGTAAGAGAGACAAGCCGGAGCGGACGCCGAGACTGTGGTTGAGAGCGCAAGCATAGTAGCCGAGGTTGACCGTTTCTCCGGAAGCGATCTGCAGACCCTTTTGAAATATCCTTTCTTCCCACAATTACTGCAAACTGCGTCCCTCGCTGGACATTTGAAATGAGGGTGTCCGTCGTTTCCGCAAAAGTAGCATTTGCTTTTGACCGCGACTGACGTTTGCACATGTGGGCTGTTGCTTTCCTTGAGATCGCACGTGGGACTTTTTATTGGTTCAGATGAACCTGAGGTTGCTGCTGTATACTACATCGGTGATGTCTGAAAAGCATTAGACTGTTGTTGTACCATTTCAAGTGATCGAGCTAGTTCTAGGGCGGTCGGTAGATCTAGACATCTGTTTTCAAGAAGACGCTGTCTCACAACGCCTGACAGTATCCCGCTTATGAAGGCGTCCCGTATGGCGTCATCCTGATTTTTTTCAGCCGTTATGGCCTTAAAGTTGCAATCTTTGGCTAAAGATTTGAGCTTCTGAAAGAATTGATCGAAATTTTGCCCTGGTTCCTCTTTGTAGGTGACCAGTAGATACCGGGCGAACACCTCATTTGGTGGTTTGATAAACAGCTTTTCCAGGGTTTTCACAGCATCACTGTACGATTTACAATCTACAACATAGTCATAGATACTTGGAGAAATGTAATTGTAGAGAAAATCCAATCTTTCGGGATCTTCGACACCAATCTTAGTAAGAAATCTGTCGAAGGTGCAAAACCAGTGTCGCCATATTTTCGAGGAAATAGGAGTATTCGGATCCGTATCGAATCTTTCGGGTCGGAAGTAGCGTTCCATTTTGAGATAATTTGTATGTTGAATAAACTGATGTGAGCGACGATCGCAACAGCCGTTGAACAGAGAGAAGACAAAGGCCCGATATCTAGGCTTTATTCAACATACGATGGACGACAGGGGCTGAAAAGGAATGAGTGGGAAATTTAGAGGGACGAGTACAAAGTAATTTGAAACGACAAACAAAAGTGTAACATAACACCCCATTCCTCAACAAACAGCTCCATAGTGCGGTCCTGTAGATAGAATCGAAGGCCGCACGGATGTCTAGGAATACAATGATCGTTGGTCTTTGGTAAGTATGACGGTGCTCTATCAGCTGTCGGAGGGTGAGGATTTAATCTATGCACCCACGACCGGCGCGAAACCCAGGCTGCTCCTCGGGGATCTGCTGTTCACGCATAGAGTACACTTCGTGGAGAATGACGAACGCCAACAGCTTTGACGCTATTGAAATCAGGCTTATACCCCTATGGCTGGCGCAGTGGTTTAGTCACTGTCACCGGCGTACTTTGGACCATATGGTCCGAGGTTCGAGCCGCACCACCGCCACCCGACTTTGGTGGTAGACAGCTCTGCTGTCGTCGGGTTCAATACCATGCCTATGTGGTTCGCCTCTCCAAGTCCCTGGTCTAAGGTTGCTGGTTTCCACCACTGAACAGCAGTTCCTCGTGACTATGGGGTTCGCCCCGTCTGCTGTTCATCACACCTGGGTGTGTAATAAAAAAGTCATTGCGCGGGCCCTTTTTGACGATGGGGACGACAGCAGTTAATGTGTCACTGGTCTCCGATCTCGAACGCATCTCCTCATGGGGAATTGAAAACCACGTTTCGTTCAATAGTTGTAAAACCTCTCTTCGTTCAATTTCTTTAAAACGCCATTCATTCTCCCCTCATTTATCTTTTGATTCCACCCAACTGCATTCCTCAAACTCTGTTTCCCTTCTTGCATTGCCTATAACTTCTTTATGCTGGTCCCGTTTTATAACCAAGCTTGCTTCTCGTGCTGCGCGCAAGGTTTGATTTCCATTTCACGCCAGACG